TAGAGGCATGAAGAAGCTGGCTTCGGTTGGTGCAACCCGCCTTCCAGGTTTGGGCTCAAGGGATGAGGATTATCGTTGGTTAGAGACGCTGAGAGATATGGCCCAGAAAAGAAGTCAGTGGCGCGAATGCTGTACGGTCTGCTTGTTGAAATCCAGTGCCCCGTAAAAAACACAAACAACAAAAAAATTTCAAAGTGTACGGTGAAACACCCCAAAAAATTGTTGTTTCACTTATTTGTAATCTCCTATTCTAACAGCTACATCTTATCCCTATACACTGTACCCCACCCACCCCCTCGTTATTGCTATTGTTAATATTGTTATGGCGTTGGCACCAAGCTTGATCTCAAGCCGGTGTTATATAAATATATATATGATAAGTTTACCCCATCTCTCCGTTTCTCTCCAACTTTGTGGTTGATAATGTTCTGTAAAAAGCGTTACTTAACGTAACGAACGCTGGCGTCGATCTTCGTCCTGGAGATAGTCGTAGTCGAGCATCCCGATGATATTACCTTACTCGGTGACAGCTCACCGGCGATCCAAAACACACTGAATTGTTTAGCAATTAAGGTTGCTCGTTATGGCCTGTTCTTTGCATATTTGAGGATTGGCTATTACCTGTTCCTGAACTTTTGCAGGGTAGTCATACTCTGGAAGTAGTCGAAAGCTGTATACCTCGGGAGTTACATAGCAGCTGGCGGAAGTGTGGTTGGGAGATATCTCAAGCGTAATCAAAAGTAGATTGGCGTTTGCTAATCCGTGGCATCTCTGGCGCGGGTGCACCATAGCCTTTTCACTGAAAGAGTGTGTTCCGCAACGGTAGGCACTGTTTTGCTCTACGGCTGGAAAACATGGCCTCTCCAAGCAGATCATGTCCAACGACTATCTGTCTTCGACAGCTATTGTCTGCGCAACATCGCCTGCTTAGGGTGGGAGCTTCCCATGAGTAACAATGAGGCCGAGTGAAATGCTTCAAGGGTCAGGTAGTTTTCCCTTGACCAAATACACTTCACTACGTCTGAGATGGATGGAGTATGTCCTATAAATGCCCTAACAACGTCTAACCTACAGAGCGCTATTTGCAAGCATTACTAAGTTCGCATGGTTGAACGATGAATGAGCGAGAAAACGGAGAGCCGGAAACGAGGCTTTAACTTTCTAACAATGTAGGTACATTGGCTACAATAGAAAGATAAAAACTACATTATCAGTAAACAGTGATACCATAGTATAAAGATCCAAAGTCTAACAAAATTACAACACAGACATTAGTCCGGGCTGGAAGAAAAGGGTGGTGGTCAAACCGTTACGCTGCGCAGACGGTTGAGGAGATTGTGCTTGGATCTAGCTTCCGTTCGTGTCTCTGACTGGGGCCCCAAAGATTATCGTTGACTGGAGGCACTGCGGGATATATCATCGAACCAAAGTCAGTGGCGTGAATGCACCGTTTTCTGTTTTTAGTTTCGGTTTGTACAACCATTAACCATGTACTTTCGTGCGCCGATTTTGGTTGCTATCTGTTGGCAGCCCATTTGGATGAACAGTACGAAAAAGGCAGGTAGGTTTAGAGTAGAGTAGAATAGAAAATGGAAAATTTCAGTGGACTAAGAATGCAAAGAAATTGGGAAGATGCACAAACGCCATTGGTTACGACAAGTAGCCATACCACTCAGTATCTTTAATCATCGGTCACGATCATCCCGAGCTCCCCATCCTGTACGACATCCCAAAAGTAAAATACTGCAAAATGTAAAAGTTGCGTGCAGTAAGAAAGTAAAAAATTGTCTGCTACTCAAAACTGATCGTTTTTGCGTTCTTGTCCTGCCTGCATATTTATCTTTCAACTCATGGTTATTGTTACACCATATCTCTAAAGATTATATATATTTCAAGAGAGAATGGATAGATAGATAGATAGATAGATAGACACGGATAGATGAGTATTTGACATGCTAAATGAATCTTTTCCAAACTGTACCTCGGTTTTTGAAGAGCGGAGTAGGTTAGTTGATTTTCCACGGCGTACCATTGTCTGATGAACAGTAGAAGAGCCGAATCCTATGGCCAGGAGAATGTGCTGTTCAGAAATTTGCACCGGTAATCTAAGTTATGGTTTCGGGAGTGGAAAACCAAATGATGCCGATAGCTCGCGATCGTGTGGTATCGGAATGGGCAACAGCAAAGCAAAACTTAAGGTATAAAAAGGTTAAGAGAAGGAAAATAATTGTGTTGAAACTAAGCTCATATCTGAGCTGATAGTTGGTTTTGCTGTCATCCGGAGCAGTACCACCGTCTAGTTTTTACGGTTTGCCGCTCCAAGTTCTAGGGTCTGGTTCCCGGTTATCTCTCATCTCATTATGAAAAAAACATGCTTATAGTTTTCAATAAGTGATTCACTCTGGTTCGTGTGCTCGTTAACCTTGGGAATCGGTCCTATGGTTTTGGTTTTATGGTGATGGCCGTAATAAATGAATAGAAGAGCGATTAAGCAAGATGCCGTTCAATGTAACCCCAAAGAAGCTTCGTGAATGTGGAGATCAAATTCCGTGACTAGGTAGGAGGAACCCTACCACAACTTGCACGGTCTATGTCACTTATTGGGATAGTCGCATCGCTACATTAAATCATAAAATGACATTGTCGATAGTCCTGCGGCCACTGCGAACATTGGTGAACATGGTGCGTCAGAAAATCTACCGGAAAACATGCGAAATCCGTCCGAGCCACATTTACCGCTAAAGTTTAAACACTTATGCCAATCGCAGACTCCGATCACCTTTCGGTTAACAAAAACAGTTTCGAGATTACCATCATTTTTCTCTGTTACCACGGAAAGTGATTATTTTGTCTGGATATTTTGCCTATTGTTTATGCTTTTCAGTGAGCTATAGATGGGTCTTTGGTTCTCTAAACACGAAGGCTTGGAGTTTTCAGTGCTTCCTTCAACCGAGGTTTCTGGTCCTTTGGGTCTCGGTAAGCTATTCCTCGCTTATGTAATTCTTCTGTTCATTGTAAACAACATTGCTCACCCTAGCCCATAGTTTGTGCCAAGAATGCTGTCGTTACTATTATATTTCACATTTGTATGAGTTCACACTGGGACAAGCAAATCACAACACTACAACGTTTATATCAAAAAGCAGTTCATGATTCGCCTTTCGGGTGAAATATTATCAGATTACTCAGGCTAAAGCAGACGAACACTCTTGGGGATTCACAACCAGAGCCTTCAACTACCCAAAACTCTATCATGTTTTACACTCTTCAGACGGGGTCAAATGTCCAAGTTGCCCAATACACATTGATACACAAGAAAGTAGGTGATCGCTTTCTGAACGAGAACGTTTTGGGTGTAGTTCTGACATCCCTTCTTGGTTCTTTAAGAACTCCGGGTGTTAGTAGCTGCGAAGATGAATAGCCATTAACTCACCAGCCCGTTTCTCACTCCCACTTTTGTAAGGAAATACTACCACGTAAAAGTAGTGAGAATGGCTTCCTCCCCACAGGCTGTTTAAGACGCTTTGCTCCATAGGAGCGTTTCACCAGTTGCGAAGTAAGAATAGTCGGCCACAACTGAAGCAAATATTCCTGATCATGCTAATGATTTCTTAGGCTCACCAACTTAAGGACAATCATTTTTGTTTCCTGAGTTCAACAGGAAAAATATCCCTGACAGCCTTCTTAAAATATATGATCTCACCGTCTGCACTTTGAAGGTATTAATCTTGCTGCCATAGTAGCCGCAATAAAATTGAACTCCTAAATGTTGGCCCTCTTATGCAGAAACCAAACTCAATTATGGGTTATCAGTTAACTACCTATTGGCATTAGTTTCTGATGAGGCTGATGAAAAGTTATATTATTTTCTGTATGCTAGGCCAATGTTTACAAAGCATATGCATACACATTTATCCAACCGCACCAGAACGTCACGTCACATCGACTTGGACGAAGGAAAACTGAATAATAATGGAGATTTTGTGTCCGCTTTTCATGGTAATATCAGTTCATTGGGCTGTTGTTTTATTCAGTCGCTCAAGCCGGAGTACAAGGTTAAACCTGGTCGTTGCTTAAAGTTTGCAATCCATTGAGAAACATTTTGTCCACTAGGTTTTAACGCACGAACTTCCCAATTTACGAAATGCATGTTCGACAAAGTCATCCTTTTAGTTGTCGTCAGGCTTCATCGAGAGTACTCATTTTACACTAGTTTGATCCAACTTAGAAATCGGTGTTAAAGCGGAACGAGTTCGGTCAAGCTGTTTTAATTTCTGTCTCGCTCAATCTCATTGGCCCATAAGGTAGGTGGCTCGAGCTGGATCATTTCACCTAGGCAGTAGGTATTCTCGCTGTTTATTGGCTCACCCATATACCTATTTTGTTCCCATTTACCTCACTTACTTTCGTAGGATTGTCTCTGGCTAGGGGATAAGTTGGCACCAATAAAGAGAAGTCCACGAGCTGCCACNCAAGTTTATGGGAAATAGAGATGACGGCTACCGATCGGATCTCCGCGTCACAGATAAGAGAATCGTCACCTAGTTAGTCAACAGCGAATAAGTAAGCATTAGTCCACCACATAAACGGTTACCGTCGCATTGGTACTCGAGACCATGATAGCTTTTCGCCTGGATACGATCTTCAAAACCTTCACATATATTCGAAGATGTCATCGTATAAGGCCGGTCATTAGATAACGCTAACACCCTCTTATCCCGCCTACTGGAGGAATACGAAGTCGTTTCCTCGGGAAGGACACGAGCAGGAAATCTTAGATTCCCGAAGCTGGTGAAATATCACCAGAACGTATGAACTGTTCCATGCCATCAGCTACCAACGCCGTCACTCCGCTACCCTGCAGGCCGCATTTAATTGTTTATGGACTAGATGTGCACATCTAAACAAAAGCCGAATATGGCTGGGAACGTCATTCCTCACAAAATTCCCAGCTTTATTCGTTAATTCTTGGTCTGCCACTCTTCAACGGTATCCTTGGGAAACGAAACTTCTCGTGCTCCCTCAGCAACCGGGGTTTTCAATCAGCAAACTGGAGGCTTTCGAACTGGAAACATTAGGAACAAAGTATGTTGAAACCCCTAGCATTCTCCTAGATACCAGAAGTCAGTGTACCACGCTTCGGTCGCTTCACGACCAAAGAATATAGATTGCTTGTCTATCAGATGTGAGTACACCAAATTCGGGCACAGGAAGAATTAAAGTGGCTCAAGTGAGTGCGGACTGCTAGAAATAACACAGCGATCCAGCAGACCGCTGGTCACCGTGGTTTAACGATCGCTGAGAATAATGAAGCCAACAAGGCTGCGATCTTATGTAATCCAGTTTCTTCCAGGGTGCTGTAGTACACTTCGGATGAAGTCCCCCGAACCTAACGGTTATTTCCATATGTGCACTAACTCCGGCAGCTGACAGCGCTGTAAAAGACGAATTTTATGGTCAGCTACAGAACACCGTCAGCCATACCCCTAGGCGAGACATATTGTGAATCAAAAGTGAATGGAATTTATAAGGTGGTGATGAAAAAATAATGAACATCGAGTCTCTTACGAATCCTAACCAGGTTATAGTACTCCAAGAGATTCGTACCAACGTCACTCTTCAACGATTACCATACGACACGCTGAAATGATTAAATATTGACGCGTTCTCAAATTCAAATTTTTATTATGAGAAAAAACTTACAAAGATTTCGCTTATCAAATCCCATAGGGTGCTTACACTTTGGTTCGGAACACGATTCACAAGATCACAGTTAGTCCATGAAATGTAATATAATGTTTTTGACGAGCGCAGGAGAATATATTATGTAGTTGGGTGTTGAAACATAATGTTTGCCATAGCATCATCAAGCTGACGCTTGAAAGATATTAATGTTGGCGCACAGACCGCGTGAGGTGGTAGAGAGTTCCATTTGCTGCACACTCTCGCTGGGTTCCACCTATAGAATATTCCAAGGCTTATCGTGGGGCAGAAACGTGAAACGTGAAAGGTTCTGTAGTTACGTGTGTGTGTGTGTGTGTGATTTAAAAATCCCTTTAAGCAACCTTGGAAGATGCTACCCCAACACAAAATGAATATTTCACCTTTGAACCTACCAAGAACAGGAGGAACTTTAGGCTACTGCCAGCAGTCTAGTCTCAATCAGCAATATTGAGGCGGCAGTGAACACAATAAACAAGCCTAAAAGAATCAATCAGAGGAGTTGCCCTGACAAATCTACGGCAGACTTCCAAGTGGAGTAAAGATTAAATATTCGGGAATATTCTACGACTGTCCTCCAAGACAAGGCCAGCTTAGCAAACTCTTTCCAGTCATACTGCATTCGACTTTATGGCACTCTCTACATGAAAGGACCGTAAACAATGCTGGATGGAAGTCGCTATTGACATGGGAGCAGCAACCGTTGTGTCCGACTTAAGCAAATTCTGCCGTCCCATCCACTCTACATCGAGTGAGAGACAAGACCAGGATGCAAGCCACGTGATACAAATGGAAAAATCATTTAGCCGAACAATTAAAACCAAAAAGATGGATGAAACGCTTCGATTGTTTGCCGAATCATTTTTCAGAACAACCTAAAGGCTTTTCCACTCCGAACAATCCAGAGGCTGATAGCATAAGCTTTCATCCACCCAGCTAAACCTAAATCATCCAAGTTGCAAAGGCCTTTAAAACAAAAAGCTCTCGGATAAGACAGTATCCTCGCAGAACTCTAAGCCTGTCTGCAGGCCATAGCCACTCTTATCGAACTGCTGTTGTCTTCAGTTTGGGAGCTGGAATCCAGTCCTGTGGTGGTTAACCATTTCAATTCTTCTCCTTCCCCTCCCCCCAAAGTGACGATAAAACGAAAGATCACCAGGATTCAGTCGAATTGACAGAGTTCCCAAGATTTTCACGGCGCTACTCATAAAACTTTTCAATCTGTAAGGATAACTGAATCCGTCTCAATCAAAGAAGCCTGCATCGAAGAAATCTTTTCTCTGTGCAGAATTTTGGAATCGCTACAAGTTCCTACAGTCGACGACGGCCTGCTTCACTGATTTTCGCTCAACCTTCTGTTTAACCGATCGAACGTATTTGGGCGGTATCAAGACCACCGATTGGATGCTAGAACAGCGCAAATGACTTTTGAAGATACTATGTTTGTGTCCACACTTAGGATGCGAAGTCGATAAATTTCATCCAAAACTCGGGTTCATCATGTTTGACCACCTTCATCATTGCCTTTCAATTCTGCAACTGACTGAGTAATGTGAAATGCACAGAACGATAATCATGGGAAACATATCACTTTCGAGACGCGGATTTCGGACCTCGAATTCGCAGTTGACACCGTCGTCCTGAAGGACACCTCGGAATTCAACCAACGAGTCAGCAGTCGTATCCATGTCCTTGACAAAATCATAGGATTGAAGGTAAACTATTAAGAGCTATAATCCCGACAGCGCCACATGTTTCAGAGTGCCTCATTCAGACAAACCAATAGGAAGAGTACAAACATGCAAGTACCTTGCCTCTATGCCCCGAACCAGTGACCAGGCCAAAAAACGAACCACGTGACGAGTCGATATCGGCCGCAGAATCTTTCTGCATCCGCGCAAGACACTATGGAGCGGCGGTGAAACTAACCTACACACTACACCAAGATACGAATTCTTCAAGGTTCGATTCATCTTGTTTTTGCATAGGGCTGTGAGACCTGGCCAATACACCTCTGTGGTATGCGGAAATCAAAGTTTTGATGGTTGATGCTTGCGACACGTAGTTACAATAACAAGGACAAGTTTCAAATAAAAAAGCTCGACGGTAATGCAATGACGTCGAGATCGGCTTATCTTCTCTTTCACCGCTACCTTCAATTGTGCATGTTCTTCAAAAGCCTGTGAACACTATTTATAAACAAAGCATCCTGCTAACACCACCTCCGTGTTTGTGTTGCCACCTAAGTGATCAAGAAGGACGGGCAGTAATTCGACCTACGGGAATATAGCCGGTATTGGTATTAAGCTAATATGAACCTAGCTGCAAACCCACAGGTATGAAATGCAATGATCCGAAGCATCCAAGAAGCCGGCTTATCCTCACGCAGGGACTAGTGACACAAAAGTAAAAATAATATAAAGAGAAAGCCCTAGCATGAGGAGAGCCAGTATTTTCAGCAAAATGCATGGAGTGATTTGGACTATAACTACCAATAATGTCCCTGGCCCCGTTCAGCATTTTTATTCGAGGTTGCACCTTGAGCTTCTGCACATCCTGTAGTTTATTTCATTCCTCCATTCTGAAAAGCCTTTTCCAGTTGATTGGAAGGGACCAGAAACGGTGATCTTAACAGTGGTGTATCACATTCGCGATCTTGCAGTACTTTCGCCATACTTATCGTATTTCACAGGGACGTTTGCCAAGCGAAAACCCGCTACGTCATCCGGGCATGATCAGGGCTTATTCGCAGCCACTTGTTCGGTGTACCTGAGCCCGTCCAATAAGCCACCGATTCCGTAACTGTTCCTCTATCCGCGGCCTGGGAGCGCTCCAAGTAGCGTGTAGCTCTGGTCCTGTTGCTGGGTGTGATTGATCAATTTCAATCAAAGGAGTTGGATTACAGGTTCTTATGACTGATAAAGAGTTTGTAACGGTAGTGTCGATTAATCCTACTGTTAATCATAGTGTATTGTCAATAAGTGACAGGTAACCACGTAATTGATTGGGTTTGCAACCTTAACAAAGGGATCAAATATACAGTTCACTATCCACGTTCATCCACAACAACCGGTTACTTTAACCCTGTACTCCGTGTCAATCCTCCCGTTCATTAAAAAAAATAAGATATCAACCGAGCAAACAACTGTGATCACTGAATCCCATATTCGATCCCAGCAAAAAATCATTTGTATCAACCTATATAGGTTTGAGCATTATTATCTGGAAATTGTTTGAAGTGATCGTCACATTTCTCTTCTCCAATTATCGCGAACAACGAGCATCACAGGTTTCTTACTGTCTAAGAAAAATGAAAAACCAAGCAGAAATGGCTAATTACACAACGCTGATTGGTGGTCCCGTGTAATAAAGTAAATCAAATAAGGCTACTGATTTTGGTTCCAGCTTTTTGTACAAAATCCTTCTGGGAAGTGATGATCAAGCAGTGTTTATCACCATCAAATATTGTTGGAGGTCGTTTGTTCGAACCCGACCACCACCGCATAACTTTCTCCTTGATTTTTTATCACACGGCTCCCATTTCATTTACAGCTTCCCCTTCTTGAAAATTGTTTGTTCTATTGTGTATGCGGTAGAATGAGGCGAAAGAATGGAAGAAAATTGATCCACAACTGACATGTGTTATTCGCACCTGATTCTAAAAACCTGCAGGTAAATCTAATAGAAGTTTATACCTTCTTTGGTCAGTGAAACTGACGAAGAAATTAGAAGAACTGATGCTCAAGTCTTGAGCGAAAATTCTACATTAACAAATCATGAATGGGATGTTACTCTGTGGATGGTGGGACGCTGAAGGATTCGCGTTTTTCAGTTGTATGTGCTGATTTGAAAAGTATTGGGTGGTCCTGTTCAGTTGGTTAAACAAATATCCTAGTTTGCCCACATTTCATGCCTTCATTTCTTTGAATATTCATGTGTCGCGTGTAAATGTATTTCACTGTAATCAGTTTCTAACTGGTATGACCCACTGGTGAACGACGCTCCTTAACCACACACACTTTCTCATTTCAAATGCCAGGTGATCCGGATTCCACTGAATTGAACAGTGTAGAGCTAGAGACTATGATCCCAGCACTAATGAACGATGAGTCGCGTACAAAGCATTGTGTCAAACTGTGGGATAGTAAGTGTATCGTGCCTTTTTGTGATTTGACATCCGTATCCTATTCCAGATTGGAATGCCTGTCAACGAGAATATCAATGGTCTGCTGTGTTACTCTGTCGAAATTTGTTCTTTGACGCGCTTGAGTGCAATAAAAAGCTGTAAGTTCGGCCTGTTTCGATCTAATCCACCTGATCCATTCCTTCTGACCAGCCTCAAAGATCCGGAATATTTCGAGCAGATGAGACAGCGCTATTTGAAGATGCGGGCCGAGTATCGACGCACCGGAGTGGAACAAAAGATTGTGCGGACCGAGTCCTGAATTCGACACCTGTTTCATAACACCCAAGTATACACGGATCGCTTGTCGATCAGTTTATCGCTGAAGATACACCCATGAGATTTTGTGGGGCAATTCCAGTGCCAAGTCAGCTCTTGAGTCTCTCGAAATCATCTCTTTGCACTCTTGTGCAATTTGTACAGTTAGTGAGTTTTTTAGAATAAAACAATTCGCAGATCATGATGCATTCTCTTGCTTCTGCTTCGTGGCTGAATTTAACTCACTTCGTCTGTAGGGAAACATTGTCGCATAATGGTTTAGCTCGGAGCATTAATAAACTGAGATTTATTTGTACAGACAGTTTGATTTCATAGTGAAATAAATTATTTCATGGATTACTTGATCGATCAAATGTGTCATCTAATTGCAGGGTGTATTTGTCAGTCTCTAGGTAAGTTGTTTTCTACAGTTTGATCAGTAGTTGGGATCCGCAACAGTTTTTTCCTCAGAATACTTCATCCAATCCAGTCCTATTTTCCTGGTGGTATAGGCCTAAACCTTATGGTTGTCTCAATTCTGGCTCAACTAGTTAGACATTTCGATAAAGCGGTATGGCTTCCTTCCGCATGCATCACGGTTATTATTTCCGTGACCTGAAAATTAATATAGGATCCAAATTTGAGCCAATTGAATGCCTGAAAAAAGCTGAATATATTATCTTTTCGCTACATCGATGAAAGCTGTGTGCACGCAGAAGCGTTCCGGTGATACTGTATATGTTATGCACGCGCACGGCAATAGACAGGACAATTAAAGTGTTAGAGTAGATCCGCAAAGTTTCTTCCCATGCTCGATCCAGTTCCTTTCAGAGGATGTATTCAATAGACGTGGATTCCCTTTTCCCCAATCATGACGTAGCTGATTTTTTATTGGATTATATTTCTTCAGGTTATTTTTTCATTGTTATCCCTCGCGAATATTTAAGAGGACTAATATTTTAATCTATTGAAAACATTCGTTTTGAATTCGAAGGAACCACATACAGACAGATGGCGTAGCCATGGGCAGTCCATTGGGCCCAATTCTTTAGGAATAATTGGACAAATTCTTGTCCGGAGATACTATTGTATCTCCCGATCCACGTTGTACTGACGTTATGAAGACGATATCTTTATTCTTAAAGAGCGTGAACATTCTGAATCCCTTTTGAGACAACTTAACTCTGTTCATCTACACCTTTCCGTATCCCATGAAGAAGAAACCGACAGTTCTTTAGCACTTTTGGATAGTCGAATTGGGAGGCGCTTAGATGGCACATCACAACGTTCTATTCACCGAAAAGTATCATTCATCTACAGTTCTCTAGCTTATCACCCATGGCTTACAAACTTGGACTCGTAAAACCTCTGTTCTATCGAGCCAGAAGTATTCTACGATACTGTTACCCAAAACAATTCATTGATATCCTTAGTTTCCATAGTACACAATCCGAAAAAAGGTAACCCGTCCCCAGCTGTTCCCCAGAAACCCGTCTATATCAAACTATCTGTTATGAGAGCTCAAATCATGCCGCAGCTCACTCGTTCCAGTTCATTAACTTGTGTTCTTCACAGACCAGAAGAGTACAGTTATAATACTATCTTTCAAGGGCAATCACCCTCTTAACGATGTGCGCCAAAAGTTAAAGTCAGCACTGAACCGCACATTCCCAGCTGCGCAACTTCAACTGATTGCCTCTACTCGTAGATTTTTGACAAACGTATGCATTGTTTGCAATACGGTTCTTTCTCATACACTGTATACCCGATCAGTGCAGTTTCGGTGACGGATACATAGACAGAACCAAACGTAATTTATCACAACAATTGACGAAACTAACTCCAAATTGGTGAATTCGATGAAGAAACCCATGCTCAGTAATCAGGTGGTCACACGCAATCCGGGGTCATCAATTGCAAAACACCTCATGACAACCAACCACCATTGATCCCGCTTCCTCTTTCAAACCCTTGTTACTTAACTGCAATTAGTAAGGTGTTGCTAATTGGATTGCATCATCCCGTTTTGTGCGCCGTAGAGTTGACTCCTTGTTTTTAATTCTAATAGCCCTTGTCTATCTGTACATGTGCGTTCACTAGAATTAACAAATCCAATGTGCTTGGTTGTTTTACTCTGGAAATGGCGAAGAGTAAACAAAATGTTAACATCTCTCGTCATATTCTTCTTTCGATCTTGGTGCAATGGATAAGGGTGCCCCAGTGTTTCAAATTTCTCTGGTTGCCTGAACCACTTCAGTGGCTTGTCGTTGTACCTGTTCTAGTCTAGCAGTTCTTCACTATAATAAGGCATAAACCTGTAAACTTTTCTTGGTGGGTTCTCACGAATGTTCAGAAAAATACCCGCTTCTCGGCTACTTAGTGCGGCTCGTCGTTCAAACAACGATCTCCGGACCTTGGAGCACACTGTTCTCTGGTATTGTAGGTGGATATGACTTATTCCTGGATCGCAGCTTTTAGTTGCGTGCAACGGATGGTCACGCCTTAACATTCAGGTAGAGAGTATGTCTAGGTCTACTTGTATTGAGTGAATTGAACGAAGAAGTTCGGAAGCTTTANCAATCTGGTTAGATTTTATCACCACTGTAAATCAGTTGAATGAAGATCTCACTGCTAGAACGTAGGCATGCTACCCACTTGACCACCGGGCGGTTGGTCCATTTTGTATTTCTTGAAATTCTGTACGCTCTTAGTTATGATTACCATATGCATTCGAGTACATTACTTGATCATTATATACGGTAGTCAAAATAACAGTAAGGGAGACAATTGTAGTCATGTCTGCCAATCATCGGTTGTTTTCTCTTGACTAAACTGTTATACGAAGGCCCTCACGAGTTCACATACGACCTCGAAGTCGGAACAAGTCACGGTGCACGTTAGTTTTCTCCGCAATATCTCGTTATAAGAAAATCCTGTGAAACGTGACCACTACTGGTATAAGGTGGAATAAAGTGATATAATAAGTTGAGTTGAGGAGGGTACTAAATAAATCAAATGTTAAAGCACATGTAGTCTCAGAAGGGTAGGTTTTATAGGAGTCCGGACGACGGAAAGTGCGCTTGCCACTAGGCATTTTAAATTCAAATTTTTACTATGGATAAATTACAAAGCTGATTCTTATTGAATTCCATGGGGTCTGTACACACTGGGTTCGGTTGGTGGTATAATTGAATAGCTAATTCCGACGTCCACTCACGAGTACTGAAAAGTTAGGTGGTTCAATGATTCATTCAGTCGTGACTTGAATGAATCGATGTTTGGTGCACACACACAACTTGAGGTGGAAGAGAGTTCCAGGTGTTACAAACTCTGAGGCTGAAAGAATGACGCATGCAGTCAAGCCGGCTTTTTGGAGCAGAAGTTTAAACGGATGTCCTCGGTGACCATTCCTAGATAGCATCACTAGAGTACTACACGGGTGGTTAGGTTGATGTAGTATTTAATAAACGAGGATAATATCTCCCCGTATTCGACGGTATTCAGACAAATTGAGTCCGAGAATTCGCAGTCTTTCACTGTAGATTTTAAATTGTAACCCTTAGATCATTTTGGTTACTGTTCTCTTGCGGACGTTCAAGTGCCTTTTGATCGCGAATCAGCCATGGATTCCAAGCCTGTATAGCCTACTCTGTGTGTGGTCTATGTATGCTGATAAATGGGGCAATAGGTCTGTTTCGAATGATCCAAAATCACGTTTTAGCAATCCAACGTGTTTTCTAGCCTTTGAAGACGCTCTTGCGCAATGTGTGGAACATCCTAGATCTTCACGAACGGTAACTCCCAGGCCCTTTTCGTTTGGAGAATGCGGCAATGGTTGAGTTCCAAGTAAGTATGGATAGCGACCTCTGTGGCGCAGCGATACAACCTTGCATTTCTCAACGTTGAATTCGATGTCATTAATGATGGACCATCGATAAGTTGCGTCGAGAGTTTCCTGCAAGGTTTCATAATCTTTAGGATATTTTACCGTCCTCAATGTTTTGGCGTCAGCGAATAATAATGCCTTTTCTCTAAGGACATCTGGTAGGTCGTTTATGAGTGCTAGGAAAAGGTACGGTCCGAGTACGGATCCTTGTGGAACTCCACGGACGGCCTCAATCAGTCCCGATAGAGAACCATTAACTCGAACCGATACGGTACGTTGTCGAAGAAATTCCTCAATCCAGTCGAGTAGCAGTCCTCAGACACCGTAATTATGGAGATGGCGCAGCAATATATGGTGGTTAACCCTGTCAAAAGCTTTGGGGAAGTCGTAGTAGACTACGTCTACTGCCTCTGCTGCGTCGACTGATTTTGTCCATTCATCTCGTGCAAGTAGCAGGTTTGTGGTGCACGAGCGTTTCCTTCAAAACCCGTGTTGGGCGGGCGAAAGTATGTTATGCTTTTCGAAATGATCCATCAGAGTATCAGCAACAATCGATTCCATTACTTTTGACAGAAAAAGAAGAAGTGTAACTGGACGATAGTTCGCATGATTACTTCTGCAGCCACCTTTGTAAACAGGCGAAATGATGCCGTGTTTCCAGGATTGAGGAATCTTCGTCTTGTCAAACATTCTTTGGTATAAATGGGCAATTATTTCAGATATGTAATTTGCCAAGGCCATCAGGGTCTGTGGCCGGATGTTGTCTTCCCCTGGAGATGAATTCCGGCGCACCGCCAAAAGTTTGTTTTTAACCGTTTCAGATTTGAATGTGACGGTGGTCAATTTGGGAGTATGGGACACTTGATAGAAGGTGTGGAAGCTGTAATCAGCCTTTGTTATCTGCAGTGAACACTTTGCAGAACTGGACTTTTAGGAATTCGGCTGCTTCAGCAGTAGTAATGGAAACGCGTCCTGCATGCCTTAGTGCCGGTATTCCATATTTCACTTTTATGGTAGCATTTACATGATTAAACAGTAGCTTTGGATTGGCAATACATTTGTGTGCCAGAGTTTCTTGAAATCTTTGTTTATCCTCTCGCACTAGTTTTACACAAAGG